TAAGCGATTTTGGCCGAGTCCAAAACAGCACGCCAGTCATTTCTCTTCTGTGCTAACTGACGCCAATTGAAAATGCCAAGTGAAGCCAAGTCCTTCTCCACCTGGTCTTTCCAACGCAGAGGAGGCCTTCCTCTTCCTCTGTTACCAGCATCGCGGCCCGCGTTGAATATTTTCAGAGCAGGAGCGTTTCTGTCCATCCGAACGACATGGCCAAGCCAGCGGAGCCGCTGAATTTTAATTCGCTGCACTATGTCTATATCGTTGTAAAGCTCATACAGCTCATCGTTAAATCGTCTGCGATATTCGCCATCACCAACGCGTAAAGGTCCGTAAATCTTTCGCAGAATCTTTCTCTCGAAAACTCAAAGAGCCGCCTCATCAGATGCTTTCATTGTCCATGCCTCCGCGCCATACACCAGCACAGGCAGGATGAGTGACTTATAGAGTGTGATCTTTGTACGACGAGAGAGGACTTTACTTCTCAATTGCCTACTCAGCCCAAAGTAGCACTTGTTGGCAAGAGTGATTCTCCGTTGGATTTCAAGGCTGACATTATTATTGGTGTTAATGCTGGTTCCCAAATAAACGAAGTCGTCTACTTTTTCAAACTTGTAACTGTCAACAGTGACGTGGGTGCCAAGACGCGTATGCTCTGACTGTTTGTGTGATGACAGGAGATACTTCGTTTTGTCCTCGTTCACCACCAGACCCATTCGCTTTGCTTCTCTATCCAATCCCGAGAAGGCAGAACAGCCGTAGCCCTTGTTTTTACCGATAATATCGATGTCGTCGGAATACGCTAGCAATTGTGCGCTCTTATAAAGTATTGTGCCTGAGCGGTTCAGTTCTGCGGCTCTTATTATCTTCTCCAACATAAGATTAAAGAAATCACACGAAAGGGAGTCCCCTTGTCTGAAACCTCGTTTGGTATCAAACGGCTCGGAGAGGTCCTTCCCTATTCTGATGGAGCTGGGGGTATTGCTCAACGTCATTTTACACAGCCGTATTAGTTTCGCGGGGATACCAAATTCAGACATCGCGGCATAAAGGCAACTTCTCTTCGTGCTGTCGAAAGCGGCTTTGAAATCGACAAATAGATGGTGTGTGTCGATCCTATTCTCGCGGGTCTTTTCCAAGATTTGGCGTATTGTGAATACCTGATCTATGGTGGATTTTCCAGGCCTAAAGCCACACTGATAAGGTCCAATCAGCTCGTTGACGGTGGGCTTCAGTCTTTCGCACAACACGCTCGATAAGACCTTGTAACCTATGCTTAGAAGGCTAATTCCGCGGTAGTTGGCGCGTATGGCGGGGTTGCCTTTCTTGTGGATTGGGCAGAGCACACTTAAATTCCAGTCGTCGGGCATGCGTTCATCTGACCATATTCTGCATACGAGCTGATGCATGCACCTCATCAGCTCCTCGCCGCCGTACTTGAATAGCTCGGCTGGCAGGCCGTCAGCTCCAGCAGCTTGGTTGATTTTCAGCCGCGTAATCGCTATACGTACCTCGTCATAGTCAGGCGGTGGGACAGCTACTCCATCATCATCGACTGGGGACTCGGGTTCGTCTTCCTCACTACTTTCAGCGCTGCTACCATTCAGTAGGTTATAAAAGTGTTCCCTCCACAATTTAAGTATATTCTGGACATCGGTCACTAGGTCGCCATTGTTGTTCTTACAGGAGTTCGCCCCGGTCTTGAATCCTTCCGTAAGTCGCCTAACCCTCTGGTAGAATTTTCGGGCGTTCTTCCTGTCGGCCAGCATCTCAAGCTCTTCGCACTCACGTATTTCGGCCTCTCTCTTCTTATTGCGGCAAATACGTCTCGCTTCCTTCTTCAGTTCCCTATAACGGTCCCACATGGCTCGCGTTGCGCCCGATCGCAGCGTGGCCCTGTAGGCGGCATCTTTTTTCTCTGCGGCTTCTTGACATTCCTCATCGTACCAGTTGTTCTTTCGGGCTCGCTGAAATCCAACTACTTCTTCGGCGGCTGTACTTAATGATCTGGAAATGTGGTTCCACTGCTCGCGTACGTTGGATTGCTGAAGAGTGCTCTCAGAGAGCAGGTGTGTGAGTCGAGTGGCGAATAAATTGGCAGTCTGTTGTGATTGCAGCTTTTCGACGTTAAGCTTTTCTTGCATTGTTGGGCGCACATTTTTTGCTGCACAGAGGCGGGTGCGTATCTTGGCTACAACAAGATAGTGGTCCGAGTCGATGTTTGGCCCTCGGAGTGTACGTACGTCCAAAACGCTTGGAGCATGCCTTCCGTCTATCACAACATGATCGATTTGGTTTCTCGTTTTTCGATCTGGAGACAGCCATGTAGCTTGGTGGATGTTCTTATGCTGGAACCTAGTACTACATATTACCATATTTCGGGCCCCGGCGAAGTCGATCAGCCTCAGTCCTTTATGGGACGTTTCGTCGTGGAGGCTGAATTTTCCGACAGTGGCGTCAAAGATCCCTTCCTTGCCCACCTTGGCATTAAAATCGCCAAGCACGATTTTGACATCGTGTCGGGGGCAGCGCTCATATGTACGTTCCAAGCGCTCATAGAAGAGATCCTTGGACGCCTCATCCTTCTCTTCCGTCGGGGCATGGGCGCAGATGAGCGAGATGTTGAAGAATCTAGCTTTGATGCGGATTGTGGCTAGACGTTCGTCCACCGGGGTGAACGCCAGTACTCGGCGACGGAGTCTCTCTCCTACCACGAATCCAACACCGAATTTGCGCTCCTTTACGTGGCAACTGTAGTAGACGTCGCAAGGCTTCACGCTTACTTTACCTTGCCCCGTCCATCGCATTTCTTGGATGGCGGTGATGTCAGCCTTTGTCTTCCCGAGGACATCAACCAGCCGGGCAGAGGCACCTTCCCCATTAAGGGTCTGGATATTCCAGGTGCATACCCTTAAATCATAGTCCTTTATACGTTTGCCGTGGTCGTCATCAGAAAAAGGGGGTCTCATCCGAGGCTGTTTTTTTCTTTTCATTGGGCGGGGTTTTAACGGGTGTTTGGTTGCTACCCAGAGGATACGTGGATATAAATATCCGGACGTTGTAAGCTGCGATTTGAACCGTACGCACAAGAATCGCTTCTGGCCACTCCCAGGTGAATGGCAGTCAAAAGTTTTCCACTTCTGCGCACGGAACCATCCTCCATCATCCATCCATCATTAATAAATCATTAAAATTAAAATACCATGTTTTACTTACTTACCCAGCGCTGATCTTATTTTTGTTCCCTTGAAGAAACGTCAAACAAAGCAGAAGTGGCAAAAAGGGAAATTATGAAGCTTTTGATGGGCAGATGCTGCCAGACTAAAGTTGTAGTTTGGAGAGTTTGGGGAAAATCTCGAGGAGAGGGATAGCAATAGGGTGCGCGATACCACGATTGACCGGATCGTGAACAGTGAAGAAAGCGGAAAGAACGGTGTTTAGAAGACACGGGGGCCTGACAAATAGCATATAAAAGGGGGTCGGCTGAGTTCCGTAAGAAAATAGTTGCCGGTGTTATTACAACGTTCGCGCTAGTTGAGCCTTGCCTTTTTTGCAGCATTTTGTGCAGTAAAGTGCAAACATTTTTTTTTTGCAACAAAAAACAAAAAAAAAACATATTAAACGCGTCGCAAAAAGTCGCGAGGCGAAAACAAAAGAATTGTGAGGAGTGTAGGTGAAGAGCCCACAATCATCTTTAAGCGCCCGGCAGAACGTGACCATCAGAAGCCGAGATTACCCTCACGAAGGCAGGAGGATTGGTCAGCACCGGTGACGATCAGATAAGGCGCAAAAATTAGACCCGTGGAAGAACATTGAATGTCTGTACATTATAGATATTAAAGAAAAATTAATGCGGGGGGTCTTTATTAGAGCACCAGAAGCCAAATCAACCATTTTTAGAATTATTGTCTGTCTGTCTGTCTGTCTGTATGTTCGTTCGCGCATCACTCTAAAACGAATGCATGGATTTGAATGCAGTTTTCACCGATGTATTGATAGAGGTCTAACTTAAAATATAGGAAGAAAAAAATTTGAGAGTTGCCACCTGTTTGA